TTTTTTTTTCTTTTTTTTTGGCTGGGACCTTCCCTGGTCCTTGCACGGGCTGGCCACCCGGGACCCGGGCGGCCCGGCTGGTCGCCTAGATATTTTCTAATTTTAATTTTTGTTTTAAATTTGGTAAGGAATTTTGATGTAACCTTGGCAAAACGATCTACAGCCCTATATTTTTTTATTTCCCCCTCCCCCCACTTTTCCCCGTAAAAAAAATCCTTGCAAAAAGGAAAACAAAAAAAAAAACATGGTTGCCCCGGACCCGAACATCCAGACACCGGACACCGGGCTCGGACCCATGTCTGGATTAATCCGGACGTCCGGTAATCCGGACACCGATCCGGACAACCGGACATACGGAACCAGACGGTCCGGTTATGAATGAGCAGGTCCGGATGTCCGGATAATAATTAAAAAAAAAAACAAAAAAAACAGACATACGCTGCTGTAGTTGTATTATCCGACTTATTTTGAACACAATCACATACACACACAGTGTCGTGCACACACACACACACACACACACACACACACATACACACACACATACACACATACCACTTTTCTCAGGGGCGTCGCTAACTCTGGGCGATGTCGTGAGTCCTTATCCATCAGTCACTTTAATCCTGGGCCGACTGTCGGGGTTCAAACTCCTGATGAGTCGGTGAAAGTCCGACGAAACAGTCTGGCACAGTCATGCTTTTTTTGAGTGTATAGCGAATATGACAACACACACACATCACCACCAGGGCGAGCTGTTGCGGATCATATCCTGCGGCAGCTGAACGCCCTTGTGTTGGACCGATCCTCCCTGTCGTCGTCTGCCCATAGAAAAGGAATACATACTGAGGAAGCCCAAGAAAGATGCTCCATGCCGTTTTGTGATGACCAGCCTGAGATTCAACTGGCATGTGGTTTGCATGCCTTGTGCTGTGAGGATTATGAAGGGATAGTCCATGCGAGTTTTTGCTTCCATACATACGATGACAGTCAGTACTGTACTCATGTACGGCACCCCGACATGTCATGTCCAATTTGCAGACAGGGGCTGGAACGGCAATGCCTCTATAATTGCGGTCGATGTGCCTCTGTGTTCCTAGCATGTACGAGCCACGTAGCCTGTGACATCTGTCTGCGCCGTGCCATTCGATGCGGCAACTGTGACTGCAAAAATTGGATGCGGTGCTTCCATAGCCCACATCCGAACTGGTCCTGTCCGGTCTGTCGGGGTGGCCACTCGCCATAGTTTCTTTTGCTAGAGTAGTCTGTTTCAGCGGTGAATATTTAGAAATATGTGAAACCCGCCATACACCTCTCCCCTGCTCTTTGCATGTCATACTCTATCCTGCCCTCCACATATTTCTTTCCTTCCCATTGCCCCTACCTCCCCTGCCCCATACTCCTATAGAACTCCGCCTTCTATCCCTTACCCTCCACCCTCCCCTCCACTCCCTTTGTACTACTAACAAATACATACAAATGAGCATCATTAAGAGAATAGACGATATGAAGATCAGAAATGAAATGAATGGAAGTATGACGATGAAGGACGGACACAAAGACTGTATAAGCTGAAGATCTGAAGTGAAATGAACAGGAGTATGAAGCTCTGAAGAGATGCACAGGAGCATACCTTCCCTTTTACTCTGCCTCCTGAAATAACGTGCAACTGGGCTGTGAAGGCACACAGGGATGTGGCAGCTGCCGCTCAACCACAATCAACGTGGGCAGCCTTGTGCGTACAAGAACAATGAAAGGGGTACCCCAAGGACAACCAAAAAACTGTCTAATTATAACCACAATCAACGTGGGCAGCCTTGTGCGTAAGAGGCACAGTAAAAGGGGTACCGGCGAGAGTAAAAGGGCCTTTACCCGATATAGGCCTCAGGCCTTGTAAAAATAAAGCAGCATGGGCCTTGAAAAAGTAAAGCACTGTGAAAAGGTATCTCGCCAGGGCTCAGAAACGTGAAAGCAGGTCAAAGGTCAAGTTCTCTATCAACAGGCACATCTAAATCTAAGGCAAAGGGCATTGTCAAATGACTTACCTGTTCACCAGGAGCTGTGTATGTCATGTCTGTTCGGGTAAGAGTGTGTCTGTACGTGCAGACAGTGTACCTGTTCGTGCAAAAGGAGAGTGTCTGTTCAGGCAGTAAATGTGTCTGTTCGTTTAAGAGTTGTGCCTGTCCGAAAGTAAAGTCAATAGGCACAGTCCCAGTTCTGGTCTAAGTCAAGGGGTCAGTCCAGATCCAGACTTTGAAGTCCAAATCTAGGCCGAGAGGCCTCAGCAGCAGTCGAACCTCATTGGGACTACACTGGGACACATGCAATGCAGGGTCTGGGACAAAGGACAGGCTGAATTGAGCCAATGCAGACCCAGCGAGGAGTGGCCAGAACTATAAAGAAAGCTGCCAGCCTCATTCCTCGCCAGATCTCCACTGGCTGCAATGCATGGAAGTGCTGGTGCACTTGTGCGCTGAGTCAGGAGGAACAGCGCTGGAGGTAGAAGATGCGCTGAATGCAGGAAGAAGCCTGTACGCTGGACGTGATGCAGCCATAGCTGCCCAGCGAGTTAGCATTAGTAGTAGAGGGTTAGTATGTAGCTATGAGTAGTATTCAGAGTAGATCCTCATGAGTAGAGAATGTGTATGCATCGTAAGAGGAAGGGACTGAGATATATAGTGTTCATTCAAGGTTTGGCTATGGGAGACACTTACCTGAGTTGGTTGTGAACTGCAGAGGTGGCGCTGATGAGTTGTGACCATATTGATGATTGGGAGACCATCTGCAGGGGTAGCGCTGGTGCCTTGGAAGTCATATTGATGAGTTGAACAGAGATTTGTGTTGCGCTGATGAGCGCTGGACTCAGGGGAACTTTGAAACGCTTTGTAATCATATTTCTGATAATATAAGCTGTGAGACTCGGTCCTCTTCTTCTCTACCTTTGTCTATGGTTGAGACTATTGATCACTGCGTGTGAAGATGATGCATGACATGTACACATCTGCGTGAGATGGTCCCCAGGACCCATGCACAACCAAAAAACTGTCTAATTATAAAATTGCTTTAATATGTTGGACATCTCAAATGCTCTTGTTGTCTGCAATAGGACAAAGACTGCATTGATTCTGAATCTATTCACCTGGGTGGAAAATCTAAAACACACACACACACACACAACCAATTCTCCTTGGCCAGCTGAAGCTCACCCAAGATTGCAAGTACAGGCCCTTCAGGGCCTGGTCCAATTGGCCCAACGGTGCACCAAAAACTGCATCGAAATGGGGCCCAACCGGACCCCTTAAACCGGACATAGGATCCGGACATCCAGACCGGACCGTCTGGATCCCGATCCGGACGTCCAGTTGACAACCATGAAAAAAACATTTCTCTTTGGTTCGTTCTTTTTCTTTCTGTTTCTGTTTCTAATTTTCAAAAACACATTTAAAGACGGGAAAAATAAATTAAACATATAGGGTTCTACAACCCTTTTTTTTTTTTTTTTTTTTTGCTTATTGTCCACGACTGGCGTTGATATGCGTAAAATCCAGGCACTCAGTCATCCAGGCTGAGGCTGTGGCGGACTACTAAGGGCCTTGTCCTGACGTGCAAAAGAAAATGTAAAGCAGCTATGGCCTTTTCCTCTCAGGCCGCCATGCCTGACTCTGCCTTGAAGCTATTTGATGTAGCAATACCGCAACGGGGGACTTCCAGATGCACCGCGTACCAGGGTGATGAAGATGGCATCCACCATGGCCAGGTAAGTACCCCTGGCGCTCCCGTCTCCTAGTCCCCTTCTCCCCCCTCCTCCTACCCGAGCTCCTCCACCATAGCCAAGGTGGAGAACTGGGTGCTCCTCTTCCCCACAGCGCTGCTCTACACCAGTGCTGCTTCCAACCACTGGTCCAGCAGTGTGACGCCAAACTCACACACAGCAAAATGAGGAGCTCTTTGCTCCTGGAGATATAGCAACCAACCTGCCTCTTGGGTGATGACTTCCAGGCCGCGTGGACTCCAAGCAACCGGTACCTCCTCCCTTTCGGAGAGAAACATCATTGCAGACTCTTATATCATCCGTGCAGGCCCTAGACTCAGGTTACTTGGACTGGTACCCGCCTAGACCTCGCATACCGCTACTGGGCCTCTAGAATACCAACTTTTTGTCTTCTTCTTCTTGGCCTCTGTTTCCCAACACATCTACTGCTACTAGAGTGGTACCGGCCTACCTGCTACTCAAGTACCTACAGCCTATACCACCGCTACTTGAGTGAGCCCAAAGCTGCCCCCTTCGGCCACTTGAGTGTTTTTCCCCGCTGCAACCCCAAAGTCACGGCCACAGGTAAGTACCAGCCCTACAGGCATCCCAAACAAACGAGTGCCCTGACGGGCCACACACACACTCAGGCCGACAAGCACTCAGACAGGCACGCAGACTAGCAAGCACGCACACACACAGACTTTGAGAACTCAGCAAAAAGCGGGAATCTCAGCAAGGCATTCATTCCAGCGGCAAAACTCAGAAATCAGCTGTTACATACTTCAATGAGTATGGGCAGAACCAAAGATCAACCAATGTAGGATGAGCATATATGCAGCGGAAGTCTGATAAACGGACTGACTCACATAGACTGACTCACATAGCATCACTCCACACACATACAATCGTGAGATGGTGGGGTCTGGGCCAAGCATGGACGATGCCCAGATCCCGTACACACATACACAGATGAAAGGTGGGAGGAGAGACGAAGGAGGTGGGGGAGGTAGACAGCACCGATAGGTCACCGAGATAGAATCCGATAGGTCACCGATATGGTAGTCCAAAATGTCATCCAACCAGATCAAAATGTCGAGGACAATCAGTCACCAATGTCGGAGATACAGAGTCCAAATGTAACCGGTGTCCGAACTGTGATGCCGCCAAGTATCAACCCCAACAATCTCCAAGTCTCCAATCCGGTAAGTACCACAGTCTCATACCACCGAAGTCCAACTCTGATCTCTGTCCAACTAGTAAGTCTCCAATCTGAAGAAGAAGAAGAAGAAGAAGAAGAAGAAGATGGAGTCTGAAGAGAAGAAGAAGAAGAAGAAGGAGCCGAGGAGGAGAGAGAGAGAGAGAGGACTGGCGAGGGGAGGGAGGAGAGAGGCCTCCAACTCCCGATACCTCAGGAGGCGATGGCCGCCGGTACACTCAGTCGCCGCTGCTGCTGCGCTGCTGCTCCTCGCTGCTCCTGCGCTAAGTTTAGCGCCAGCGCTGTATCGCGCTGTACCATACCGTACCGGTGGAATGCCGGTAGGTCGATCGCCTCACTGAGGCTGGACCGGTACTTTTGTACCGGTGGGCAAAGGTCGGCCTCTATGCTGCGAGGCCTGACCGTGCCCTGAACCATCCAGATGGACGGTTCAGCCCCAACCGGCGGGCGGCAGCCTCAAGAGCGCCGCCAGGCCCAAACGGTAATATCGTTTGGGCCGGCCCATCGGGTCTGGTCCAAGGTAAGGCCTTTACGGCCTGTAGCACCCCCAAGGTCGGGCCTTTGGCCCTACTGTGTCCCTCTACCCCTATGTCGGGTCCGGTAGGACCCGTGTGGCGTCGAAAATGTAGCATCAGCTGTGTTCTCAGTCCGTGTTTTGGCAGGTCCTTACAAGCTGTTCTTTTTTTCTTTTTTTTTCTTTTCTGAGCTGTTCTCTTAACTCCTTGTAAAAAATAAAAAGAAACGGAAAAAAAAAACAAAAAACGGTGGCATATCTTCTCATGCTCCATAGGAAGATTCACTCTCAGTTTGCGCATTTCATGAGGAGTTCGGCGAGGCTCGAGATGCAAATGTTCCAGAACCGCTCGGCACCACTATGTACTTGTATTCCAACATCGGTGCGGAAGCTGACACGAACGGACGGAAACTCAAAAACAAAGTGGACAAACCAAAGACCGCGAACATAATCACAACGGGCCTGATTCACGCTCGTCCTAGTCACAAAGCAGAAATGAAACAGAAAACGACAAAATCGGTGATACAAAAATAAAAAACGTGCCACAAGTGGCACCGGGAAAACACCCTGGCCAAAGTGGTTCGCGATTTGAGCCACTTACCTGTCGCGAGGCTGGAAAACGGCGGGGAAAAAATAAAAGTGGCCTGTACAAAACGTGGAACCTGCAGGCCTCGGGAATTTCTTTTGGTCGGGCCCATTGGGAGCCCCTTCCAAGGACTGCCTCACAACTCAATAGTTATCTTTAAAAAAAAAAGGAAACGCACACAACACACACACACACATTAGAAAAGACATCAATGCATCAATCACAATCGTTTTCAAATTTGATGAGGAATAGCAAAATCTACAGCAATGCTTTCAATGTACCACCATATGAAGAGACAGAAAAGCAAAATCTGCAACAATGTTTACAAGGTGTACTATGTACAGGCTATGCTCGCGGCCTTGCACCTTCTATGGCTCCAGTCTGGCATCCTCACTTTACCTGCTTCGAAGGCATAGTCTCCAGTCATGCTGTCCCTCACAACTGCCACTGTCAGCCCAACCGTTGATGTTGTGTTCCCACACACATAGATTCCTCGTGGTGCAATAGCAGCCGCAGCCTGCAGCAGCTGGCTCTTTCCGAGACCAGGGTCACCTGTTCAGCATGTGCAGAGATGTTATCAGTAAAACCAGTTTGTCATCGAGATCTCATAACAACAGAACCCTCTCACATTATGCATGCTCGAAACAACAGAGCAGTGCAAATGGAGCCAAAGGACCAGCGAGGTGATGATAAGGACTCGTACATACCAAATGACATCAAAGATGCAATCTGTATCCATACAATCATGGAATGTTGCAATGTAGCACAGTGGACGACTCAAAGATATGACCTGACATATCTAACCCAGAACCGATTGACACCATCATCATCACACATGTCACACAGCAAGGAATTGACACACACAGAAGAAAGATCCCTCCTTGCGCACACACATGGGATAGAAACCACGGATGAGGAAGGGGGAGGAGAGACGAAGATGCCCCTGTAAATCTGCTAAAGGCCGGTACTCGCCTTGAGATAAGTCCGGACTAATCTTGGAATTGAAAGTCTGTGATTTTTCTCCCCCCTTTGTTTATGCTCTAATTTCCCTTTTATTCGGCCGTGTCATGATAGCCCTCTGGCTGGCCATTCAGGTGGGGTGTGACAGGCAAGATTTGAACCCCACCCCCTGTTGCGTCGCTGAGGACCCCTGATGCGGGCGCAGTGAGTGACAGACGCTGTTGCCCCGGGCTTCAGCGAACAGCAGGCGTTATCCTCTCCGGATCTCCCGATACCGTGACGAAAGCGAGCAACTCCTTCCGCGCATCATCAACCGAGTTGATGGGAGGCACCTTTTGGCTGAAATACTCAACCGGATGCCAATCTACTCCGTCGTGTTGTTCCAAAACTGCACCCATGCCGTAGCCGGAAGCGTCTGTAGTCACTCTCGTAGGCAAGGTGGGATCGTAGATACCCAAGACGGGAGCGAGGAGCAATGCTGTCTTCAATTTGTGGAACGAAGTTCGGACTTCGTCAGTGAAATGGAAGGGAACCTTTGGAGACTGCAATCTTGACAAGGGTGCGGCGATCCGTGCATATCCGCCAATGAAGCGTTGGTAGTACCCGACCGATCCCATAAAAGAGCGAACTTCCGTGGTGTTGGTCGGTTCCGGCCAATCTTGGATGGCCTTGATTTTGCCCGCGAGCGGACAGATGCCTTGCGGCATCACAAAGTGGCCCAAGTACTCGAGCTCTTGTTGTGCGAATTCGCACTTGGGTCGGTTGGCCTTGTACTTACGTAGCCTGTCCAAAACAGCACGTAGATGCACGATGTGCTCGTCCAAAGTCCGACTATACACCAAGATGTCATCAAGGTAGACGAGCACGAACCGGTCCAACATGTCGTGAAACTTCGTTGTCATTGCCGCTTGGAAGGTGGCCGGGGCATTTGTGAGGCCGAATGGCATTACGACCCACTCGAAGTGCCCGTACCGTGTCTTGAACATGGTTTTGTAGCGATCTCTTGGATGGATCTTGAGCTGGTGGTAACCGGCCTTAACGTCCAACTTGGAGAAGTATTTACTATTTGGCGCCGCCCAAGCGTTCGAGAAGACCGTCGATTCGTGGGAGCGGGCCGACATTCTTAATGGTTTGACCGTTAAGCTTACGATAGTCAATGCGTAAGCGCAGCTCCTTGTTCTTCTTCCAGACGAAGAGAACGGGTGCACCGTACGACGAGCAGCTAGGGCGAACCCAGCCCTTGGCAATGAGGTCATCGAGTTGCGTTCGTAGCACTTCAAGTTCCTCCTCGCTCATGCAGTACATACAACCGCGTGGAGGTACGGCCCCGTCTTCGAGGATGATCTCGTGACGAATTGGCCGATCCGGTAAGATTCCGACGGGAGCTTCAAAGACGTCGTCATAGGAGTCAAGAAGCTCTACAATACGTGGATCCGGTGGCTGTTCCACCGCTGGCTCGTCGGGAGGAGGGAGGGCGTGCAAGAAGCAAATGCCCATTACTTCCACGTCGTTCCGTGCGATGGAGTTGCAAATGCTTGCCATGGAGACCACGTGACAACCAATCGAAGGGTGAGGTGGGGGGACCATGCATGGGACAAGTACCCCGTTCCGGTCACGAACGTGAACGGTGCGGCGGTAAAAGTTCACCGGGTGGTCCTCGCTGCACAGCCACGACAGGTCCAAAATCATGTCGAACTTTGTGCCCAAGATGTTAAAGGATACGGCCTCGTGTGCATGCGGGGCGAAGTATACGGGGACGGAGTCAACGCACCGGTCAATGGACTTGTGTGTACGACCGTCGGCCAACGTGAGTTGAGTGGGCTGCGACTTCCTTCGAACGAGCGGCCCAAGGCCAGCGCGTGCCATGAAGTCTTGGCTGATGTAGTTCCGAGTAGCTCCACAATCAATCAAAGCGCCGCAGGTCGCCTTCCCGATCTGAATGCGGATGTAGAGTAACGGTGCGTCGATGTTGTCATACCATTGCGTGGCGTACTCGTGATCGATCTTCGCAATGTACTCACAAAGGTCAACAACCACTAGTTCGTCTTCCAGCAACGGAGTTGGTACTGCAGCGTGCCAGTAGTTGCGCAGTTCTGCCATTAGGGCGTTGCAATGCGGCTTCGGCAAGGAACCAGATCGAGGAAGAGGCAGCCATTGGAAGTCCTCCGGTGTCAATGGGTCCAAGTCCTCAAGTCTAGACCATACTGACGAGTCCCCAACTAGTGTTGGCGAGGATGTTGGTTCGCTTGGCGATGGTGATGAAGTCGCGCACGCATATAACTCTTGCACGTGGAGAGGTTGGTGCAACGGAGGGATCAGCTGGACAGCATAGTCTTCGTAACTTTCTTGAAGACTTGCAACATACGCATGCTCCCCTGACGTGGAGGAGTTTGCTAGCAAGGCAACCATGTCCGGCGGACTAGGAAGTGGAGTCGCCTCACTTCCCGCGGAGCTCGGTTTCCCGAGCTTTGCCGTGGGCGGACGTCTTCTTTGCCTTTGTCGGGGCATAGCGACATCGTGTGCTTGGTGCTATTGCACCAATAGCAAGAGTTCCACTTCTGGCGGAGCTTGTATTGCTCCTTCGTGAGGCGGAATTTCTTCCACAGCTCATTCGGTTGTCCGACTTCCGTTGTTGACGCGGATTTCGCCTTTTTCTTCTTCTTGTTGTGTCGTGGCGGAAGGGCGTTGACTCTGTCTCCTTCACTAGCCTCGTGAGCCAGCGCCTAGTCTTCCTCTTATCCATCGAATTGGACAGCAGCAACTGGCTGCGTCTGCGGGCCTTTGCCCTTCTCCACAAAAATTCGGTTGGCTTCGCCGCTCATTGGTGGCCCACCGATTTGATTGGATTACTTTGTGCGCCTTGTCCACGATTTGGTCGAAGTCTATGTACAAGCTGCGCTCCCCAAGGGCCGTGCTTAATGCGTCAACCGACCGCTGGAAGAATTCTCGACGAAGGTGCACGAATGGTATATCCAGATTCGGGATCGTCACAAGTTTCCGCCACTCGGTTAGCCATTCGCGTGTTGGCTGGCTGCCTTGGTACATGGTGAAGATCCGGTTTGCACCTTTACCTTGAGCATCGTCGACGATGAAACGTTTCCGCCACTTCTCGGTCATGGCCTCCCAAGTGACCTTGGTGTAGAGTTTGGCGACCTCGACGCCTTCAATTTGTGTCAGGTGGTTGAGCCACACTTGGCTGGCACTGGTGCTGCAAAGGTAAAGAGTTGAGATCTTCGATTCAGGCGGGACCAAGTGAATGGAGAGCTCGTTGGTGGAACCTCGCCACCAACTTATGGGGTCCATCTTCTTGTATTCATCGAACTTTTCGATGCTGAACTTCAGCATCTTGTACTGTTTGGACGTCATGCTGTTGCAGGTCCCGGTTGGTTGCTGCTGCAGCTGACGCAGGTCAGCTTGCAAGGCGGCCATTTGTTGGCTGATGGTCAACGGTCGTTGGAAACTGTTCAAATTTTCGATGAGCGCTACCAGGTGATCCATTCGTTCCTCCAGCTCGCGGATTGATGGATCGATGCCTGTGGATGCCATGTACCTGCGTGGAACGTCATCCCTCTCCAGTTCGTCAAGGCGGGCATGGAGACTCTTGAGAGTCTCCTCGTAATCGGAAATGATATGGGCCTGCCAAGCCAACTCCACTTGTTGCCAGTTACAAGTGAGGATGACCTGGTGCATGATGTTGGCGAGGGCTGACTTGGTCCGTTCCTCCGCAGTTGGTTCCGTGTGCGTCTCCGCCGGGTCAAAATTCCATTCTCAGAGTGCGGTGGTATGAGCGGCTTCCTGCTGCATGAGGACGGATGTGGCATCTCGTCGAGCTTTATTATGGTTGGCAGCTGATTCAGCGTGCTGCCGGCGCTGTTGCTCCGCGTTGCGTGAAATGGCGTTGAGGCATGCGGCTTCGGCTGCCGCCTCGCGTCGCTGTTCCTCTTGTACTTGCTGCATGTAGGTGGACAGGCGGGCCATGAAGGCCGTCATTGTCTCACCCTGTTGCCGGACTGGCGCAGCGTCGAGGGCTCCCGCAGGTGTCGCAGTGGGAACCACCTACTGGACCTGTGGGACCAGGGGGTTCGCGTTGCACACCTCGTGTGGACTGCCAGATGCGGCATTGTCCATCGTGGGGTTGCCCTGTGCCTCCATTGCAGAGGGGAGGGACAGGGATAGCTGCTGCTCTGCTGCGACTGCCCTCGCTTCACGTTCTGCGATGCGTTTGCTGCGTCAGAGCATAAGCTGCGGTTAACTGTGCTGTGTCGGCTGATGCAGCACTGGTTGCCGTGGCCCTGCTGTTGATGTGGCCCTTGCTGTCGTGGCCCTTGCTGTCGTGGCAGTTGCTGACGTGGCACTTGCTGTCGTGGCACTTGCTGATGTGTCACTAGCTGACGAGGCGCTGCCGTAGTACACAGAGGGGTGGGAAGAAATCATGCAGACAGGCAAACATCCGGACTGCAATTTCCAATCCCAGGTACTAATCAACAGTGAGAAAAAAAAGAAAAAAGAAAAAGCTCTCTCTTTTTTTTTTTTTTTTTTTTTTTGAAATCTGTCGATTTGAGAATTAGGGAGGCATCTATCAGATAACGAGC